TTCGGGATCACGTGGCGTCTAGGAATAAAGTACTAACTATATATGACTGTGTTTCCTAAGCATGTATTTTATATATTTGTTCATTCTCCTTACATTCGCATCTCTAACCGTTCAAAAATTTATAACGCATAATAGAGAGAGAGAGAATTATTTTAATGGGAAGATGGAGGGGTTTGCCTGGTTTTTCACCTGACAGGCTGCTCCAGTTGTCGGGTGATGACAGTGATATACAGAATGATAAACACCCAACAAATACAGTTACATACGCGCATAACCATTACATAACACATACAGTCACTCACACGCACTGCACTATTTACAACGTTTTGTTCAAACCTGTGGCCCGTAAGAACGTCAGTAGCGCTTTTGTAGAGTCTAACGCACTGAAAAAGTTCTGCCATGGGCCTAGAATATTTTTAACTCCAAATTTGCCTCCTGTAGCATTTTGAAGCCCATCTTTAGGGACTGTCTCTCTGCTGCGTTTTTCGTACACTGGCAGAGGACATGATTGATGTCTTCAACGACGTTACATTGGGCACAAAACCCTGAGTCGGACAGCCGAATTTCGTTCCTGAAGAAGTTCATGTATGCTAGAGTCATAATACTAGTGTAAGTTATCGAACAATTCAGCAATTGTATAATACGTGGCTTTTGAATTCTTTTCGTTTATTTCGTGTTCTTTCCAAATAACTAATGCATAGTCCCCCTCACATAATGCTCCTACTTGAAGCGTTTGAGGTATTTGTAAATAAATAAATAAATAAAAATAAATAAATAGGTTTCTCTAAAGAGCCCGCCTTGCGTTTGGCGGGCTCTTTAGAGAACTTGAAGAATGACACAGTAGTCTTTCTGCTCTGTACACTGTCATCCCACAGCGCACCACGGGCGACGCGGGGACATTGCTTCAACCGCTGCAAGTCTTTCAGTTCCAGTGGCACGTTTAATAACGCTGAAACGACTCGATTGCAAGCCCAGCTGGCAATGAAACACTTTTTTTTTCTTTATTGCCTTCTTGACTACAGGTCAAGCTAATATGACAATCACTATCACACGTGTTTCATGCGTGACAACGCGTCAAACAAAGATATTACATCTTCATTATAGTAGGTAGTCATATACACATCTCGCACTTTTATAACAGCTTCCACGAAACACTCATTAACGGATAGAACTCTCACATCACAGTGTCTGTACGATAGCATACTACGCCAAACCGAATGAAGACCAAGTACAACTATAACATCCAAATTTCGCACAGAACTATCACAAGGCAAAAAACGAATTCCATACGAAGTAAGAGGTAAATCTTTTTTTAAAGTCCTCTGTAAAATGTCCCAAAAGAAAATAGCATTCTTACAATCAATAAACACATGTTCAATGGTCTCAGGTTTGTTACACAGGAGACAGCTGCTTCCCCATGATACATTGCCAGTAAAAACGTGGCTTGAAGAGAGAGGGATGTAGGTACCAGCTGGCCATGAAACACAATCGCGCTCCGTACTGCGCAGCATGCAGAAGCTCGTGGAGCAATCGCTTCGTTACGTCACGGCTAGCAAGCACGCCAGTGTTGCCCGACCAATAGGCTGCTCGCTCGTTTATAAATATATTCTATTAAAAATTACCGGCACAACCGAATGCGCCGAAACCTTATCAGCTTGTTTGCGATTATACAAGGACCAACCCACACAACACATATTAAGGTCGAAAATTGTATGTCATGACCCCTTTAAGCAAGCAGCACCAGTCACGTGCTACATCACTGCAACCCACAGCAGACAACATACGCGAGTGTGTAATGTTTAAACGTTTCCCGCATAATTATTGCACAATTCTAAACATTGGTATGACTGTCCATTTATATAAACAGCACACATATCGACCAACACAGCACCCATTGGAAGCCATGAAAATTCAGTATTTCAAGTAAAATGATCTATATCTCCAAATCTAGCGAACATGGTGAACAAGATTGTGGGAAGATCGACTGTAGACAAAACCGCAGTTTTCGGGAAGTCGCACTGTATGCAGCTCATGCTTTGACAATAGTATTTAGTCATTCATCACTTTATTTTTGAACTTGCATTAAAGCACTCTTGAACAAGCTAACGTTCTTAAATTACTCGTAACTACAAAGTCATTTTGCAGCAATTATAAACGGGGTGTAATCTACGCTGTATATAGTTTGTGCAATTTACAATATTGTTACGTTTGAAAGAGTCCGGTAGATGTTGAAAGGGGCCGTTTATTAGGTCGTGAGGGGCAGCTCAGAAGCGGCCGGCTCGTTAGAGATCCTCCTGATCCTCCTTTTCCTTTCTATATACGGGCAACAAATGCGTTCACCGAATACGCTTCGTTTTCTTCGTGCGTGTGCGCAACATTCCTCTCTGCGCAGACAAAGGCCGCCGGACGAGTCAGTCGAGTTGTCGTGGCGTGTACGGTGTCAGGCGGGCAACAAGAACCACTTGAGTTTTGGCAGCTCGTCGAGTACTTGCCGTGAGACAAGCTATTACATAATTCACCTCTGTAAGTCTGTCGACAATGACAAAAGGTCCAATGTAAGTGGCCAAAAACCTTTGGCATAACCCGCGCTTGTGCATCAGAGTCCACAACCACACCACATCACCACGACGATAAGTCCCTGGTTGATGGTGAATGTCATAACGTGCTTTCGCTTTGTCTTGCGAAACCAAAGTGCGTAGTCGAGCTATGCAATGCGCCTCTTCGGCGAGGCTGAGAGTCTCGGTGACAGTCACGTTGTCGTGATCACAGAAAACTAAAATTGTGCCAATTGTGCGCCGGGGCGAACGTGCATGAAGCAAAAAGAAAGGGCTATAACCTGTAATATCATGTTTCGCGGGGTTGAACGCGTACATAATGAACAGGAGTACGTCATTCAAGTTCTTGTGGCCAGATGAAACATACATAGACATCATGTTGATAATAATGCGGTTGTTACGTTTCGTCAGGCCATTAGTTCGGGGGTGGTATGGTGTGGAGTGACGCAGGCGGGATTCACACAAACGAAGTAGCTCCTCCACAACATCCACTGGGAATGGTCGTCCACGATCGCTGATAATCAGGCGATGTGGGCCGTGTCGGAGGATGACGTACTGCAGCAAAAACGACGAGACGTCACTGGCAGTTGCGGAGGCGACGGCCGCCGTCTCACAGTAGTGTGTGTGGTAGTCGACGCAAACAATTATTAATCGGTTGCCCTTAGGCGATTCTGGAAAGGGGCCCAGAAAGTCAATCCCCGCTTCTTCGAAAGGTGCGCTTGGAACTAACATCGGCTGTAGAAGACCAGCTGGACGAGTTGATGGACGTTTATGATGCTGACATTGCATGCATCTTGCCACATAAATCTCAACAGACTTCTGCATACCAGGCCAATAAAAGCGCTGTTTAGTCCGGTGAAGCGTCCACGGCAAACCTAAATATCCAGATGTAGGGTCTTCGTGCATGACACTCATAACAACTGTTCGCAGGCTCTCAGGGACCACTAGAAGGAAACGCGCGCCACTGCTGGAGAGGTTCTTTTTGAACAGCAGTCCATCACGCATACAAAAACGGCGTGCAATAATGGAAGTGGATGCAGTGGCGAAAAGGGGTGCTAGTTCAGCGTACTTTGCTGTTCTGCTCTGAAACTTGGGTAGTCCGATAATGTAGGCAACACAGACGCTACAGGCTAGTCAAGGTCATCGAATTCACAGTCCGTTGTGCTAAGTGGCATACGTGAAAGACAGTCCGCGTCAGCATGTCTACGGACACTCTTGTGAGCGACGGTAAAACTGTAGTTTTGTAGCCTGAGTGCCCAGCGCATAAGGCGGCCACAAGGGTCACGAAGGTTCACAAGCCAACCCAACGAGTGGTGGTCGGTCGTGACAGTGAATGAGCGTCTGTACAGGTAAGACATAAACCGCTGAATTGCGAATACTACCACCAGGCATTCTTGTTCTGTGACAGTGTAATTTCGCTCCGGCCTTCTTAGGGAGCGACTTGCGTATGAGATGACGTGTTCACTATCACCCCAACGTTGTACTAGGACGGCTCCAATACCTACACCGTTAGCATTCGTATGAAGTTCTGTCGGAGAAGAAGGACTAACGCACTGAAGGACGCGTTGTGGCGCTAGCGAAAATTTCAGTGGACGGAATGAAGAATCGCACTCCGGAGTCCACTCAAAGGAATTTTCCTTTCGTAAGAAGCATGTGAGAGGATACACAACGTCGGCAAATGTCAGAATAAAGCAGCGGAAGTACTAACAAAGCCCCAGAAAACTACAAAGCTCCTTGACAGGACGCGCCGCATTGAATGACTGAACTGCTGCTGTCTTCTGGGGGTGAGGGCGGATGCCATCCTTGTCAACGAGATGCCCGAGCGCAAGCGTCTGGTGGTCTCCGAAGTGGAATTTCTTCGAGTTTAAAACTAGGCCAGCGTTTCGGATGCAGTTCGAAACAGTATCCAGACGACAGTTTTGTTCACTGAACGTTGGGCCAAAGATAATGACGTTGTCGAGGCATCACATGCATATGTTCTACTTCAAACCACGCAGAATGGTGTCCATAAACCTCTCGAACGTTGCCGGTGCATTGTATAGTCCAAATGGCATAACCTTGAATTCAAAGAGCCAATCAGGGGTTACAAAGGCAGTCTTCTCCTTGTCCTCTGAGTGCATCGGAATTTGCCAATAACCAGATCGTAACCTGACCAATAGCGGGAACGTTCACCGTATACGCTTCGTTGTCTTCGTGCATGTGCGCAACAATATATTTGATACTCGTAGTGGTTAGCTGCTGCAACAGTTAACGCCTATGTAATTGTAACAAAAAACGTAACGAGTAAGGCAGCAGAAAATTCAGGAAAAGCACATCGCCAGAAGGTTTCAGGGTTAAAAGCAGAATTAAATTAAGGACTTTGCAGCCACAAGTAATGCTATCAACCTAGTCGAATCTCTCATATTGCCCGACAACCTACAGGCCTAATGGACAGTTTTATTGCAATGTGACTGAGACATAATTTTTATTAAACTGCAAGTGTAAGGCAATCAGAGACAGAAGGGTAACTGGAACACTTGGATTTCGCAGAGATGTGTCTGGCGATTGGTCATGCGTCACAGATATCGCTCTCGTAAGCTCTGTACTCTACAGGACACGTCGCATGGTGGGCAGCGAGACACTTCTCGGGAATGTTGTTCACCTTCTCTTGCGCCACCCACAATATACAAACTGAAACGAAAAAACATAATTTAGGACACAGGAAGCAGATATAACATCCTCATGTGATTGCTTGTATTAGCTACGATAAATCATTTTATTTTCATGCATGTACCTTTCTCTGGATTTATTAAACTCTGTCACCTTACCCTAAGTCCATAATATTTACAGAACCTTCACTCATGTCTTCGCCGTACCGCTTCGTTGCAGCTTATGTGGCGCTTGCCATTTTATGTTTCCTGCCGCGTGTTTGTGGTTAGTCAGAAACTTTTTTACGTGTAACCATGGCACCCAGTGACCCTACATGTACCCCCTAGCTCAAATTGATTAGGATCCGTGACATAGTAATTTTGTTGTGCATTTCGTTCCTTGAAATAAAAACTGTTCCAATACCAATTATTAACTCCTTTGTAACACCAATTTAACAATTTGAGATTGGTTGTATTTCAACAGTAGTCAATTTTGCTTCCCTCCTTGTCCCCATCTGCCATTATAAGCATGCACTAGTTAGTGATCAGGTTCAGTTAAGCTAAAGTGGTTAACACCCCACTTTTCACTTTACTTGTGATATGCGTTATTTTTTATTGATGTAAACCAGAATACCATTCAAGCTACTCCTAACGATGCCAGTTCTTATAGATACGTTATAAGATTGAGAAGCTGCCACATCGTGAACATTTTTATGGTTGCAACGGGTAAATAATTTCTTCATACCAAAGCCCACCGGCCTCATTCGTGGTCATAACTATATTTCTGGATTTTGGGTGTTCGTTCTCAATGGCATCGGAACCCAAAAGCATTGAAAAGAAAGAACGAGAAATTCAAGCTGCTGAACCCACGTCTCACAGCGCCCCGTCTGATTCACAATAAGTTTCACCGCATGGCAGGCTAGCATTGCAGCAAAGGTAACATTCAAAATCTTTAATGGTACGGTTTTTCTTCATATATTTTCGGGCACGAGATTTGAGGAAAATGTTTCGACTTGGAAAAACTTTAGATTCGGAAACTTTATACGTTGCCACACATTTGATTTGTGGGGCTTCACACGGTTCAATGGATGCGTCGGAATGTAAAATCACGTCAAGATATCGGCAGTTTTGTCATCTTGATCGCGATTGTCTGTTGCCAAAATCCACGTTATGCTATAGATTTATCACAGTAGCTCACTATCCCCTATTTTAAATTTTACTTGCGACCCATTCATGGCGATCATCGGTTACGACATTGAAAAATTTCTGGCAATTCAGTATTCTTCTTAGTGATTTTGAGTACATCAGCATGCCCTATTTGCTACATTACTATCACCCCTTCATTCCTGTATTAAATTACACTCCCAATATCTTTCGCAGCATGTTCGTCAAGCTTTTTATGCTCACGTCTTGTTCGTTGTCGGCGCGTGTACACTAGTTCTTGCTCTCGCTTGATGCGCCGCTGTGCTCCCTTGCAGCTGCGCTCTCTCCAGTAAGTCTCGCAAGCTTCGCCACGTGATCTCGCTGACCCGTGCTCGGCGTTCAGCGCCAACACTCGTCGCCGCATGCTCCAGTTCTATAGATGATTGCTAGAGGGCTGCACTTGTATGCAGCACTCGTGTTTAGCACGCTACGTTTCTCATCGCTGATAGCTCCCTCAGTTAACACGCGGTGCTGGCGCTCTGCAGCAAGAACACCCTAGATGGTGGGCTGGCAACGCAGCAGCATGGCCTCGTCATCGAGACCTTGTGGTGAGAGCCCGAGAGTCTGAAGCGAAGAGGACCCACCGTCAAGCAAACCCGTCAAATCTTTCTATGAATGGTTGTGGGGTATACCGGAAGATACGCGGGTTGCTTTATCATCTCTGAGGAAGCTCCATTGGCATATATCACTATTGCGATGATTTTGTAGACAGATTTTTTGAGGTGTGGTCATCATAATTTGAGGTGCCTAAGGTGAGCTTCAAGTTTCGACAAACCGTCTGAGAATCAACTGACTGCTTTACCATGCACTTAAACATTTTTCAATGAAGTGATAAGTTAAGTTACAAGCCACAGGAGTGCGAAAAGCTGGTATAAAAAATGGGACAGTAGTCAATAATTGAAAAGAGCAATACTCTGGACGGTACCGGCGTTTTCTGAACAGAATTTTCCGTATATCTACAATGTTGGCTACTTTTGGCAGTACTTCTTGAAGGATTGTGGTAACGTGGAAAACATTTAGGTATTATCGTAAGTTGATTTCGTAATCGTCTTTAAGAAACTTCTGGTAGGGTATAACAAAATAAAACTAAGAGGCAATTCTACCAAGGGAAGAATAAAAGGCATTAGTTCTCTTTAACAGTAGTGTAATAATGTATGCGCGTACTGAACAAAACGAGCAAGTAAAACCACCCTTTTACTTGGTGGGATCTGGGCACCCATTGTCCAAATTAGGAAAGGTTGTATTGTTAGCGAGTTTTTTTTTTTTACAAAAGCAATGTTCAAGCAGACGCAATGGTCGCGAAAATTTGGAGCCTAATTTGAAAAGCAAAATTAACTGCGGCATATTGTTCATTCCTATAACGTTGCAGAAGCTACTACCGAATATGTAAAATGAAAGTCTTACGATTCTCTCCATAGTACGGAATTATAGATACTATGCAGTTTTCGTAGTCGGTATAGTTGTAGTAGGCAGTGTAGACTTCACATTGGTCTGAAATGACGAGGAATGCGGCAAGTTAGAAGCAGTACAAGAAAAAAAGCAATCTGTCTTGGAAGCATCCACTGCAAAAAGGAAGCACCCTAATAACGCACTTTGTGGATGTTATTCAGAAATCTTCATATTTAGCTGACAGAAGGAATTGGCGTCGTGATGCAGCGAAACAAAAACACGAACGCATTTCTTCCTCCTCTTAGGGAATCAGATTATCATACACGGAATACTTGTCGCTGTAAGTAATGTTGTTATGGTGATAATAATAATATTTTCTTTGTACCGATCTAAAAATGCTCATCATCAGCACCCTGATTACACCCACTGCAGTGCAGTGCCATTCCCTCATAGCCTGGCATATGACATTAGCGTAATACCCTTGAGTGACTCATCACACGCTGGCCTTTAAGTATACAACCCGTGGCACAGAAACACTTGTGACTTTTTGTACATGATTTTAACGAGCCGTCGCGGTGGATCCCACGCATTGAGCACATCTATTTCATTTGGAGCACTCTGTTTATGGCTCCTCACGCCACACTTCAAACCAATTCGTGTGAAATATTTTGCGAGGTTGAACAAGTGCCGGAAGAGCAACTGAGTACTTCATGTAATCACGCTAAAGTCGATAAAGCAAGGAAGCAGGGATATTCAGTGCATCGAAATCTAGTGCATACAGCCTTATTCGGCGGATATAACTTTTTCTGCAAGGTATATAAAGCTCCATGCTGATGAGAGGCTATGATTGATTCTATCAGCAGCAGCAGCAGCAGAAGCAGCAGTACAGCTATGCCTATCTTCAAGGCGAGGTTAGTATGCGCACTCTCAGAGCTTCCAGATCAGTGAAATAATTGCGGCAACAGTGATGGTGCTTGTGCGCTGCGATCATGAAAAAGTGTGATCTTCAGGTTACGCTGTTTATACTGTGTGTTCTTTCTGAAATGTTACAACAAACCTTTTATTTCATGAAATTTTATATAATCGTGTCACCAATATTTCTTCACGCTACAATGAACCTTTAGCAATATATGCGGAGATAGAAATCATCCTTTCACTTGCGCTTTCGTTGTTTATTGTATCAAAAAAGTCTACCGACCCCTTGCAAACACGGCTATATGTGGCTGTTTTTTTAAGCGGATCTTTTTAGGTCGTAGACTCGTTGCTCTAGGGTTAACAGAAATGGCCATCAACGTCTATTGGCACAATAACACTTTCTATGCATACCATCATCTTGTACTTCGCTCAGAAATGACGTGCGTTGATTGGTCCGGCGTGCGATTTCATAACAGTGATGGTCGAGAAAACGAGTACAGAAAGAATGAAATAGAAAGACAGAGAAACCGTTTTTTTATTAAAACTTTATGGCCAAGTTGCACTGCATAACTTTGTACATTATGGTATTGTTGGGAATGAGAAAGTAGAGTGAGGGGGAAGAGGAGAGATCAGAGAAAAAGATGAGGAAAATGACGAGGTGTAAAGGAAGGCTTTCGAGAGAAAAAATGAGAAATCACAGGAAAGACGGAAGAAAAAAAAACATAAAATCACACATGCGCACGCACGCACACAACACACACACACACACAGATATATTTATATATATATATATATATATATATATATATATATATATATATATATATATATATATATATTATATATATAGATAATATATATATATATTGTAATGAATTAATGAATCTGAGTAACGGACGCTCTGCTGGCAACGAAGAAGACGATGATGATCGGTGGCTGCAGTAGTAGCTCGCGCACGCCGTTCGCCATTAGCCAGACCTGCCTGTTAAAGCTCATTTTGTCAAGCTGCGTCTGAACCTTTCTCGACGTACAACACCTCTATTTTAAGTGGTGGAGGAGCCGGGGTTCCCATCAACCTGGAACTTCGCAGTCGGACGCTACCCTCACCGTTCAACATGACTGCTCCTGGCCCTTCTCAAGCTGCCTCACCAACGACAGTCTACTGTACTGGCGCGCCTCGGCAACGTGACCCACCAATTTTTCGCGGCAACGATGAACAAGATGTCGAGGACTGGCTCGTCGAGTACGAAATCGTAAGCGCTTCCAACAAGTGGAACGCCTGCGACCAGCTCACAAACGTGCGCTTTTACCTAGCTGATGTGGCCAGCCTCTGGTTCAAGAACCACCAAGGCGAAATTACCAACTGGTCCGCCTTCAAGACCACCATCTCCGCGGTCTTCGGCCGTCCCGCCGTGCGCCGGCTTCGCGCGGAACAGCGTCTCCGTAGTCGAGTCCAGCGCAGGGACGAGACCTTTACGAGTTACATTGAAGATGTCTTGTCCCTTTGCAAGCGCGTCGATGAATCTCTAACCGAACGCGACAAAATCAAGCACATCATCAAAGGAGTTGACGACGACACCTTCCAGATGCTCGTCGCTCGGAATCCACAGACCGTCACCGATGTTGTCCACCTCTGTCAGGAGTACGACGAGTTGCGTAAGCAGCGTGTCTCGACGCGCAGGGCCGCAGAAGATACGGCTGAAGTTTCCGCCCTCGTACACGACGTCGCTGCTGATCAGACCGTCTTACTCCCCCAAATCAAACAATTCATTCGTGAGGAAGTTGCGCGTCAGCTTTCTCTTGTGGCCGAAGCATCCGCGCCAGTGACCTCGTTAGACCCACGTCTACGCCAGGTCATTGAGACACAGGTCGCGCAAGCACTGCCTCCATCGCCACCTGTCCCTACGCCGCTGACCTACGCTGCCGTCGTTGCTAGACCCCCAGCCCCACCTGTCTCTGGCGCATACCGGGGCACCGGGTCCTCCTACCCTACGACGCTGCCTACATACACGGCACCCCATCCCGTTTCGCCCCCTGCACCTTCTGTCGTTAACCCATGGCGCACCTTGGATAATCGACCCATCTGTTTCGCATGCGGTTTCGTGGGACATATAGCACGCTACTGTCGCCGTCGCAACTTCCAGCCTCCAGACCATGGGAATTCTGCAAATTACCAGGCTGCCCAGAATCCCCGGCGACCATCTTCTCCTATCACCGACTCATTGTCCCCACGACGCCCCGTCGATTCTCGCCGGTCATTACCACCCCGTCGCCGATCTGTCTCCCCGATGCTTCGGCGCACGAGCCCCGCTCGAGAGGAAAACTGACAGCCGCAGTTCCGGAGGCAAGAACTGCGTCGTCGTCGAACTTTCTAAGACCTCCTCTTTGTCCGTCCAACGAAATTGATGTGCTAGTAGAAGGTGTTGCTGTACGTGCACTTGTCGACACAGGCGCCGTCGTTTCTGTAATTAGTGAAAAACTGTGTCGCGATTTGAGAAAAGTTACAACGCCGCTTACGAATCTTGCTCTGCGTACAGCCACCTCCCATTTCATCGCGCCGACAGCTCAGTGCACAGCACGCGTTCTTATTCAAGATGTTTGGTACGCCGTCAACTTTGTTGTTCTCCCACGTTCATCTTACGACGTGATACTAGGATGGGATTTCCTTTCTACCCATCAGGCTCTCGTCGACTGCGCTCGTGCTGAACTCACGTTGACGAATCCGTGCCTTGATATCGACCACCACAGTCCCTCGAAAGTGTTTGCCGCAGCTGACGTCCGCATCGCGCCGTTGTCCGCCGTCCTAGTGCCTGTGTTTTCCCCTGCTGCCACTAACTCGACGCTCCTGTTCCAACCAACTATAGCTAGTGCGCAACACCGGACCATCGTCCTCCCGTTTGCCGTCATCAACTTTTCCAATGGTTCGGCGGTACTTTATGCGTGCAACGTTTCTGCTTGCCCGTACATCCTGCTACGCGGTGAGTGTCTGGGAAGCCTCGAGACCTTAAATTGTATTTTCGAAGAACCGATCTATCCAGACAAGCCATTTCTACCGACTTGTGCCATTACACCCGCAACTGACGCTAATGAACCTATGGATGTATTCCGCAAGTCCATCGATTGTAACCTCACGCCTGGGCAGCAGAAACAGCTGATCAAGCTCCTACAGCGTTTTCGAGCCTCGTTTGACCACAATCAGCCTTCCTTAGGTCGAGCGTCATCTGTTGTACACCGTATAGATACCGGTCAAGAGACGCCATTACGGCAGCGTCCATATCGTGTGTCAACTACCGAACGCCGTGCCATCAATGAACAGGTTGACGACATGCTGACACGTGGCATAATCGAACCGTCAAGCAGTCCCTGGGCCTCTCCAGTTGTGTTGGTGAAGAAGAAGGACGGATCCATCAGGTTTTGCGTGGACTACCGGCGTCTCAACCGAATCACGCGCAAGGATGTCTATCCGCTGCCACGCATTGACGATGCCTTGGACTGCCTACAGGGAGCCGAATTTTTCTCTTCTTTAGATCTCCGCTCTGGATACTGGCAGGTACCCATGGCAGAGGCCGATCGTGAAAAAACTGCTTTCATCACACCCGACGGGCTTTACGAATTCACAGTGATGCCCTTCGGCCTCTGCAACGCGCCAGCTACTTTCGAGCGGATGATGGACTCTATCCTTCGAGGCCTCAAATGGAACGTTTGCCTTTGTTATTTAGATGATATTGTCGTCTTTTCAACTGATTTTGAAACCCATTTAACCCGCCTCGAGAAAGTCCTCGCGTGTATTTCTGCCGCGGGGCTGCAACTGAATCTGAAGAAGTGCAATTTCGCCGCTCGAAAGCTTACGATCCTTGGCCACGTGGTTTCAAAAGACGGCATTCTTCCTGACCCTGCCAAACTTACAGCCGTTTCAGCGTTTCCCAAACCGACCACCATGAAAGAGCTCCGAAGCTTCATAGGCCTTTGCTCTTACTTCCGGCGCTTCGTCCGCAATTTCGCGACGATCATCGCTCCTTTGACCAAGCTCCTCGCCGGCTCCAGAGACCTTTCAGCCTGGTCTGCCACCTGTGACGACTCTTTCAATGAACTGCGCCGCCTCCTCACGTCGCCGCCTATTCTGCGACACTACGACCCATCGGCACCCACAGAGATCCACACCGACGCTAGTGGTGTCGGGCTAGGTGCTATTCTTGCACAGAAGAAAGACGGCTTCCAAGAGTACGTGGTTGCCTACGCAAGCCGAACTCTTAGCAAAGCCGAAAGCAACTATTCTGTCACCGAAAAGGAATGCCTCGCCATTATTTGGGCGATAGAAAAATTTCGACCTTACGTGTACGGGCGCCCTTTTGACGTCGTGACTGACCACCACGCCCTCTGCTGGTTGTCGTCATTGAAGGATCCAAGTGGTCGCCTCGCCCGATGGGCATTACGCCTCCAAGAATATAATATTCGCGTGGTCTATCGCTCCGGCCGGAAACATTCGGACGCAGACGCCCTATCCCGTTCGCCCCTACCCCCTGACCCGGATTGCTGCGAAAGTATAACCTGTGATGCCACTGCCGTCACCATCGCCGACATGCCATCTGAGCAACGCAAGGACCCTTGGGTTGCTTCGATTCTAGACATCCTGGCTGGGCGGACGGCTTCCCCCCCCTTCTCGCACGTTGCGTCGGCAAGTGGAGCACTTCGCCACTCGCGACGACGTGCTGTACCGACGCAACTACGCACCCGGTGGGCGTCAGTGGCTACTCGTGATTCCACGTCATCTGCGATCCGAAATTTGTTCCACGTTTCATGACGACCCCCAATGTGGACACGCAGGTTTCCTGAAGACTTATTCTCGCATACGTCTCCGATATTACTGGCGTGGCATGTACCGTTTTATACGACAATACGTTCGGGCCTGCTCGACGTGCCAGAGACGAAAAACTCCCCCTTGTCACGCCAGCGGTACCTTGCTACCCTTACCATGCCCATCTCGACCATTCGACCGCGTCGGCATCGATATCTATGGCCCCCTTCCCAACACTGCTGACGGTAACCGCTGGATCATAGTTGCCGTCGACCATCTCACGCGGTATGCCGAAACTTCATCCCTTCCCTCGTCTACAGCAAAAGACGTTGCGACTTTCGTTCTTCACAACATCGTATTACGTCATGGAGCACCTCGGGAGTTACTGAGCGATCGTGGTCGCGTATTCTTGTCAGACGTCATCACAGCATTGCTGCGTGAGTGCCACGTCGTTCACCGCACTACAAGCGCCTATCATCCTCAGACCAATGGAATGACAGAGCGCTTCAACCGCACCCTTGGTGACATGCTGTCTATGTATATCTCGTCAGACCACTCCAATTGGGACCGAGTGCTCCCGTTTATCACGTTCGCTTATAATACCGCCATTCAAAGCACTACAGGGTTCTCTCCTTTTTTCCTCCTTTACGGACGCGAACCTTCTTGCACTATGGACACCATTCTTTCGTACAAACCTGACTCCTCAGAGTCCACGACTTTGTCCTCAAGCCGCTACATACGCTGAGGAATGCCGCCAACTGGCAAGAGCATTCACAACCCAAGACCAAGGACGCCAAAAGCACCACCATGACGCATCAAATAACACCACTTCCTACGATCCAGATTCACTCGTCTGGCTGCATGTTCCCTCTGCTACACCTGGCCTTTCTACCAAGTTGGTCCCCAAGTATCACGGCCCATATCGTGTGCTACAAAAAACGTCACCGGTGAATTACCTCATCGAGCCACTGGAACCATCTTCTGACCAACGTCGTCGTGGCCAGGAAATTGTCCACGTCTCGAGACTTAAGCCCTGCTACGACCCTCCCGTGTTTACTTGTCCATAGGTCGCCAGGATGGCTCCTTATTTCGCGGGGAGTAATTGTAATGAATTAATGAATCTGAGTAACGGACGCTCTGCTGGCAACGAAGAAGACGATGATGATCGGTGGCTGCAGTAGTAGCTCGCGCACGCCGTTCGCCATTAGCCAGACCTGCCTGTTAAAGCTCATTTTGTCAAGCTGCGTCTGAACCTTTCTCGACGTACAACACCTCTATTTTAATATATATATATATATATATATATATATATATATATATATATATATATATATATATATATATATATATAGACAGGCATGGTGGTTGAGTGGCCATAGCGTTGCATATAGTCCAGTAGATCCTCCGTGAGCGGTCACAACGTGGTTTATTTCGACGTTTCGGCATGGAGTCTGGCCTTCATCAGGATTAAAATCCTGATGAAGGCCAGACTCTAGGCCGAAACGTCGAAATAAACCACGTTGAAATAAACCACGTTGTGACCGCTCACGGAGGATCCACTGGACTATATATATATTAATAGAGAGAGAGAGAGTAAGTGGTACAAAAGCAAGAGAAATGGAAAGAAGGAAGGAGCAAATGAGAAACCCAGACGGACGTAAGCGATGAAAAAAAAAAGGTAAAAAGAGCAAAAAAAATGACTAGATCGAAGGAGAAAAAAAAAGCTAGAAATAATCACCGTCAAAAAATACCAAGTAAGAGCGCACAGAAAAAGAACAACGACGGGAACAAAAGTGAGAGCCAAAGAGGAACTAAGGAGACTAGACAGCTTCGCACCTGCTTCATCATTGATACCACTATCGTTAAGCTGTCGTTTCTTTTTTTTTTTTGGCTGAGATAATTTTTTAAGTACACTTACGACCCTCAGTGAGTATTTCTCGCGGCATTTATACACTTGCTATCGAATGTTTTAGCAGTACCGATAGCAGCGACGTAGGTTCCAGGAGTAGTGACGGAGTCGTGACGTGCACGAATGAAGCAGACTGCAAGTCTAATAATAAACTGTTTATTTGTGCGAACCTGTGCCCGGTAAACGGAAAGTCTTGCACTGATAGTGGCGAATGAATTGTTGGCAGTCGATCAACTGGCAAGCGGAAAAGCGCATTGGCATTTACACACTTTTCATCGAATATTCTAGCGTTATCGCTAGCGGCGACGTAGGTTCCAGAATAATCTAAAATGTCAATGAAGTGGGCGTAATCTTAACAAAAAAATGGGGGACCCCTAAGCTTCGCCTTCAAGCGTTGCATGCGATAGCGAAATGAGGCCCCTGGGGCACCCTTCAGCCGCGAAGTGCATAGTTATTCATATGTTTTGTTACGTACACATGCGCGCACACAAACACGCACACAAACACGCACACAGTAGATTGACGAGCGTGCGCTATTATCGCTGAATGTGCTCGTTTTCGTCGTGATACCTGTCGAACAAAATGCGTTAAAGAGGCGTAAAACATTTTTTCAAGTAACCATGAAATGAACTCACTAGAAGAGCTTATTGCCTCACGAACTCAACGCCACAAAAATGTTAAGAATCCGTCAAGTGCGAGTGTAGTTACAAAGGTCTGTCGCATGCAGCGATTGCATTTACTCTTCTGTCGTCCCAATGAAAGCGCTGGAAGCTAAGCAGGGAGGGGTGGCAGCGCAAAACTACCACGCCTCGTGACCTTTAGTACTTTTTTTTTTTTGAGTGCGCGGCTTTAACCGTGTGATTAAGCGCTCACGCGTGGACAAGTAGCGGCCTCCTGCGGCTATCTCGGTGACTTGATGTTTCGGTCACAGACGCAAAGACAATTTTTAACTAGGAACCAACAAAAGCGATGCCGGTGGTGTGTTTTCTGCGACATGAGCAAACTCTATCGCGTGAAAACGATCTACTACAGCCTCGAAGCTTTTCAAACGTCGTAGGCGTGGTTTGTGCTGAACGTGGTGTAATGGGGTGATAACAAATCTTGAAGGAAGGAACGTGGCGATGCCTCAGTAACAGTGCCAACGCAAGTTGAACTTCTTATTTTTCTTTTACAACTGTAAATTGCTCACCCCCATCTAGACTGAAGTGGATTGGTCTATATTTTTACAGTGCATCATGGACATGAGCAAGCCTGGGGCTCTTCAAAGATGATAAAGCCGACTGTGTGTCAAGCGCTTCCGCTCTGCCATCTTATTTGGCTGCCACTGTGGCAGTTCAATAAACCCATATCTCGCACCGTCAGAATATTACCCTTCTAGAATATTTTGAAGATCGATCTTCTCACAGAAAAGAATTTTTCTTGTACAGAATAAAGAATGGTATGGTACTCACTACCATCCAGAATGAAGTGCACTTGATCTATGTTATCCGATTGAGATATATCGAAGGTCGATGTTCTTACAACACTGGACAGAGTCAAATAAAAACGTGTAACTGATTAGGCAACCATTCAGTGGCAACACAGACGGCTACTAATGCTTCCTCAAAAGCCTGCAGCATTCTCTGTAGAATAAGTGAAAAGAGCTGACAAAGGAACAAAAAGAAACGTCAGTGCTGAAATTCTGATTAATACACACGCTGAAAGAAATGCCCTGTTTCAGAAACAAATCGCATCTTCAAAGTAGAAAAAATTACTGAATAATATGATACCTTTTAATGCGAAAAGTGAGTGAAGGTGAGCGTGTTTCATTTGGTCGTATAATCATCCAAAAAAATTTACAATAACGTGCTTATAAACGCTGTTAAAATAGTATTTAAATGTATTTCGTGTAGTTCCATTTATTTATTTATTGGTCTTTTCTCGGAAATATTTGTTGTTTCCACGTTCACAATTTTCAGCTTTTTTATCTTCTACATTGTAGCAAAGTAAAGCTACATATCAGTTTATTTTATAAATTTGATTGAGTATTACTACAACTTTACTAAGTGTTTATTACGATTGGTGCTAGTATTCTTTCTTTAATTTTGTATTATGTCAGAGAAAACCTGTATTTTTAAATAATTCGTTATATCTTCAGCTTTTGTTCTTGATTCATTATTTATGATATACTATTTGCTGTATTTTTGCGTAGTTGCAGGAGTAATGCCTGCATCTTCATTGCTACGGAAACACAACATGATCACGTCTTCCCAAAGCGCTTGAGCGGGGAGGCATATAGCTGTGCTCAACCTAATTATGAGAGCTCTACTGATAGGCTGATCAGCCTATGTTCAACCTTATGCAAACGCTCAGGTGAAGTACGTGGTGAATATTCTTTATTTAAGTGCTGAGCACTTTACGATGAAGAGCTGCCATGTTCTTTCATCATCGCTTGACGTACTGCAGGCAAAACGACATATTTTAGAATTCTCTCTAGTATATTTAGAGCGTGCTCGCGCCAAGAAGAAGCCTTTGGAGGCTCAAAAGTATAGGGGAGCATCCTGCGGCGCCTACAGACACACACGCTGCCTTTTTGAGCAGTATTCAAATTTTACAACCAACAAATAGGTGTGTTGTGCCAGCCCTATGGTGAAGTATCCAACACCTACCATATAGTCTGGACATGCCCAAAAGAACCCAAGATTCACCTCAAACCCGAACACCACCAAATCGAGCTGGGAGGTGACCCTGCTCAATAGCTTCGTACTAGAGGAACAGCGGATGGCGGCTACTACTAATGGCGTCCCGGGCTAGGAACGTAGACCAGTCACTTTACCACTCCACCACTTTGATGATGACATGAACGCACTTGAAACCGCATTTAGCATAGCCCGTTTGTCACTTATTGAACGCGTCCTCGCGCAAAAAAGAAGGTGTCTGCATCTTGTTCTTGGAGCGCCATGGTGATAACAATTTTTTTCAGCAGTGGCATGACTTACTTTGCACCCTAGCAACGCCTGCGGCACACGGCGTCTACGTGCGTAGAAGCATCGTTACACAGTCTAATCAAAAAGCTGCGTCACATCTATGAAAGACGAAAACAAAAAGAAACAAAAAAGGTTCCACCCTTCTTTCAGGCTTTGGCACCACTAGTGCTCAGCAGCCGAATATTTTGATTTGTTTCATTTTTGAAACTCTGTCAGGCATCTGTAAAACTTTCACTTGAGGAATATATGTATTCTGTTGATGTTCATTAAGTGGTGCATTCACATTAGTGATACCTTCGCGTGATACATCAGCGTTGAAAGATCGTCCTCCAGAAAATTGTGGAACCCATGTTGTGCTGTGATCTTACGCAATAAAGTATGTGTATAAGCTGTCGGACTTTCCCTTTGTGAAGCTAAAAAGAACTGAGATTGCACCAATTGGACGGCTGTCTTGCATCTACTCACAATCGGTAAAGCCCGCCTATTAGTACGACTCCAATCACCTCAGCCCATATGTTGCACATGCACTTCAGACTACAACTGACTGTTCGTTTTATTATCGCCAAAAGTGCACAAACAACATCGAGCAACTCTGCGCGTGCTCTCAACCCACTCCCGGAAGCATCACCACTGTACAGCTTGCTCATAAGCTGTTTCACGTTTCCGGTCGTGAAATGCCAAATCAAAGCATGCGCTACTCATCAGAAAGCCCAGCAGATGAGTGTACTATTAGAAACCCAAAGTTCTCTTTTTTCTTACAATTTCTAAAACATTACAAGCATCACAAAAATACAAAATGTCATCTTTTTTGTATTTAAATGACTGCTAAAAACCTTGAAGGTAAAAAAGCGAAGGTGCAGATACCTATACCGTGCTTTTTTATTTCTGATATTTACGCGAAAGCACCAAACACGCAGTGATCGGAATGCACGCGTAGCTATAGCGTTCTAGATTTCAGCAGAAGCACCGAGTTTTTAGGCATTGCCAAAGTTTTTCGGCAAAACGAATTGACTTTTTTCCCTCCTTTTCTTCTAGAAATTTATGAGCACAAATACTGAGAACTCGTTTGAAGCGAAACTTCAAGTTATAGGTATGCATTTTTCACCTCTCGCCTGACGATCTCTTTAAAAATAGTTGTGATACTTGCTCTAGAGTCATCTTCATGTGCGTACCTACGTTACCAGTTACACGGGCAACTTGACAAAGATGTTTAATTTACTCCGTTCAGAACTGTGAATGCTGCGTATTAACGCCCTACTTGCACATATTTAGCCTTTGTGAGCACATGGTTGCTGTCTTCTACAGAGAATTTCAAAGCTTTGTAGCGGCACTGAAATAGCACGCGTGATATATCACTGATTTCCGAAGCATACGCGGCACTTGTTGACAGCAGCGCTTTTCTGTCTAAAAATATAATAAGATGTTATCACCGCTGAACTCACGTGTGGTGATTGATGGGACTCTTGAAGTGCCACACATAGGTGCTATCCTTGGTTTGTTCATTGAGGTAGGTGAGTGTGGCCGTGGCACACTTGAATTCCGGGTCGTCGCTTGATGTGTATACCATGGCAAGGTACGGAAACGAACTTATCATCTGTGACAGTAAGGCCAAAGGGCAATACACTTTGTAAGATATACGCAAGTTTAATAATAAAAAAGAATTCCCCGCTTCCATCCATTCACACAAGGCTAGATTACAGCAGAACGGCTGGGCACTTAGGGGGTCCAGGCCTGGCTAGGCTTTTATCCTCTGCCATTCATCTTTCCCAGACGCACTATGCTTTATTATACACGAGTATGCGTCTTCTTTTGCGTAGCAATGCGCCAATGAAATTGGGCGAATACCACGCTACAACAGAGTTGTCAGCTGAAATAAAGGAACAGCACGGCCGGCAAACAGCTAGTTACAACCTATTTATCAATCTTTTTTAACCAACTGTATCGAGTAATTGACCAATAATACAGCACATGGCTACTCTTGATGATGAGAATTTATTACCTACGACACACTACGACATCGAGCATAATAGCTTGTGGAGTAATAAATAAAACGCTCTACATGAGTGCGTTCCACTGCTTCAGCATTCACCGAAATGTTTACCCTGGAGCGGAAATACCTTTGGAGCACTTGGCAGGTCACAACCAGTTGCACCTCGAGGAGGATGCAATGAACGCGATAGAAAAAGAGAGGGGTGTTATTCGAAGCAATGCCACTAGCCGGTCACTTTATTATCAGACAGAGCTTCAAACACAGCAGAACGCAAACCTATATAAGGCCGTGCCGCCTACTGAATGTTGTCAAAATAATTTTTTTTTATAAAAGCTGGTATGAAATCGATTGATTGACAGAAACTTGTCTCGTCAGGAACAGAGACGAAGGCGAATAAAACAACACACTGATCCCGATTAAAACCATATAAAAGCGTGATGTTGCAGATCATATGGGGGCCACAACGTCATGCGTTTTATTTGCTTTTCTTGAACGTGGCTCTTGAGCGGGTGCCGAAATGTCACCCTTCTGCTTGCTTTTCATCATGGTCAGTTTGTTGATTTGATTCTCCAAAATATAGCATATCCAGACAAGTATACTGAAACACAAAATGTGTTGAAGCGTAATTATTCCTTTACACGCGACTACTCTACTGAAAGCAAGTACCGTGGTTACCTAGCGATTGCATTTTTTGGCTTTTGCGCACAGAATATGGGTTTCAATGTGGGTGTAATATTAGAGGCCTGTCTACTTCTTCATAGTCAGGAACGTTGAAAAAAACTGAACTTCATAAATTTTACGTGGCCATCTGCTTTGTAGGCTTGTTACTGTTCGAATCATTTTGAAATATTAAAGCCCAAAAATGAACTACTCACATCAAGCAAAAATGACAACTGCTTTGATTTACGAAACATTACAGTGTAAACGGGGGTGAAATGAAACACCTTTGTTTATTTGGAGCGTGTAATGAACTTTTAGGCATTAGGCACAAACTATTTCGCCATCTATGCGTTCATCCTTTTAAACCCAAAGTAGCCCTTGTAATACTGGTGATACATTCCATTTTAGCGTAACGTAAGAGGTAGGATCAACTAATGAAAACAGCAGTTTCGATAAGTCTAATACAAAAGGTAGGTCTCGGTCGTTGTTTTAGATTGTGTCAATAATTCTATAGCTTTGAAACACGCAATGGTTGTGGTACATGGTGGTACCAGTGACGTGTCAGAATGTGGCTAAAAGTGAAATATCACACATATGGTACTCATGTATATGACATGTGAAATAAAAAGTTTTCATCCTTGCGGCAATTACTTTCTACTCGTTTATGAAGCCTAGGTATGCAAAACTATGACGTTACTCGACAGCCACACTTGGTATTTTCTGCCTTGTCGATAAAAATGAATCTTATGCCAGGGAAACAAAACTTGCTACGGACGTGTTCTATACACAGACCAACATATGGACATAATGACAAGCTTTATTGGCAGTTTATTTAGAGTGTATAAGTATTTCTGTTTTGCCACGAAAATGGAAGCATAGAAATGATATTGCATGACTCCTAGGGTTGTGTATGTTTTCTTTAGAAATAGAATAGAAAACTTCTCTAACATGGAAGGATTACTTCTCTTCTACAGGAACTGAGTATGTCATCTTTTTTCTGCAATGTAAATCCTCCTGAAAGAACTCTGCCTTACTTTCCAGGAATATTATGAACTAATTCATGCTCATAAAACAATTATAATAATGCGTAAACATTTAACGCAATTCAGCATACTATCCGAAAGATAATACAGCAGTGCCAAATAAACACTGCTAGTTTGGTAGGACAACTGCGGTGTCATATAACAACGTGATAAAGATTAGAAGCCTGTTTTCTGAAATTCGCGTGTCCGCTTCAGCGTCTTTGGTTGCAAGCGATCATGATCATGGTCAAAGCTTTACTCCTCCCAAAAGGAGGAATGGCACAGAGGTTGGTTACGCTGCTTAGAGGAGGTCAACATGAATCCTTTGGGACAACGCGACCTCCAATGCGCGTGAGATTACCGGGCCTTGCTGTGCCGACTCTGTGGTACGCAGTAGGGACTCCCACGTACATTCTGTGCGTGAAGCGTCAGCGTACTGTGGGAACGTCCGTGCCATGTGTGTCAGGGTGGCTGACTGTGAGCAGTACTTAGTGTGGGGCAACGAGGTGTGAGTATACCTTGCTATAAAGCCAGGGATTGGGAAAGACACTAGTCGGAAGCTTGCGCCACAGGACGGCGTCCCGTCGGAGAAGATCTTTATGAGCCGAAGGAATGTGGAGATGGCCTAGTGTATAGTACTGTAGAATGTCTGCGTAAGTAACCAAAAGAGTTAGTTCCCCGCCCGCCTTGGAAGGCGAAAAAAGGGAAGTGTGAGGCGTAAGAAACTCTACCCTGCAGTAGATATCACGGGAGAGAGTGTGTGCCTGCACATTTCCATCAAGAGATTCATAGGCTGGGACCTTGACGAGAAGGCTAGGTGAGGCAGCCGGGATGTTATGCTTTTGATTGAGTAGGCCTGTGTATAAATACGAGTCTCGTCAGAATTTCAATTGGAATGAAATTTCATCACATTGGTTGTTGGGTCTACCATAGCCAAAGCAACGGCAACCTCTTCGGCAACTGCTATATCGATGGAGTGAAGTGCACTGCACGCCATGCTCCAACCACGGTTTCGGTCTAGGGCAACAGCCACGATTGTGGTTTGATGAGGTTGCCGAAAGGCGTCCTTGTAGGTGACATCGGAACAGTTTCAGAGATGTTTCTGTATTCGCGCGCACTGTCAATCCTACGATTCGCATAATGTTTAGGGTGGATGTAGATGGTGAGTGGAGGATACGAAGGCTTAGTCGTTGATCGGTTGGTACGTCTTGGTAAGTGGTGGCCGCCTTTGTGGGAAGGAGTCCGATTTGGTGCAACACAGCGTGTCCCACATCCGAGAGCGAGAGCTTTTAGAACTGTGACGTAAGGGTAACTTGGATAACGTCCATGATCGTGTTCGATACCCCGATGTTGCGAGCGAAGAATTGGTTCCACTTGTGGGCGAAAATTCAAGAGTGATGCAAACAGATTAATAATACAAATATTCGCTTTGAGTGATAATCGAACCCAGTACTCCCACGTGAGAAACACGTGCTTTACGATACAGCCGTCACATCTGCTTAATGTCAGTTGTAATAGTGCACTAACCACGGAAGTTGACTTATAAAGTAGTATCGATGCTGCTTCGATGAACTGAACCGGGCTATGATCGCAGAGATATGTTCAGGGAAAAGGAGATGAACTTAGTTTTGCGCATGACTTTTCTCAAGATAATATATTGCAGTAACTTGGTGTTAAGCTGCACATCGTATGCAAATCATTTATCCAGGACTCCAGTGCCTGAAACGTCTTCCAAAAAACGAATGCACGTCTTGAGAGTGCCATTGAATGAGACGAGGAGTCTTAACGCATGTAATATTGCGTGTAGAAGCCTAGAATTGTATCAGGCGTTAAAACATATGAATTCTTCAATGTGTTTGGTGTTTAAAGCTAACCGCAAAGTGTGCCACTACACAAGTGTGCGTGACGCTTTAGTGGTATGTGGTGGATACTTAAGCATTTTTCAAAAGGAAGAATTATGGCGTAGTGGGCACTTCGCAGTTGTGCTTGTAGGCATTACTCAAGTTGTCAGAACCGGTGAACGTTCCGCGCACAAGGATTTCCCGCCTTGTGATAACATTGAAGAAGAACCGTATGGGGGCAAATTTTATAATTGATTTCCACCCAAGAAGGTAACTTCAAGTGCCTTCCATGCTTTTTTTCTGTCAGTATCAAGTAGGAAGAATAAACAAGACGAAGCTCGCGCTAAGTTGCGCAAGGGAAGAAATAGCAAAACTAAACGATTTCTAAGACCAACCTGGTTGCTCCTAAGCTGTTTATCGGCCTTAGCTAGGGAGTCCAGGCTCTAGGTTGCTTGTACGTTGACGCCAGGCTTCAGGCAGATGATGCTTAGAGTGTTTCTACGCTGATTCCCAGTGAAGATAGACCCGAGTTAAGCCGCAGGCAGTGAGAGACACGAAGTGTTTGTGCAAACTACAGAAACCAAGTGTTCGTTGCTCAAATGGACCTACGGACACGTCGCCGTGACGTACGCCTTTGATTGCTTCGAGTTCGTACCACAGCCACCGATGCTTTTCTGTTCCCTGCTGTTCTTTCGTTGTGCGAACTTGGGGTCTTCGGCTCAACACTTTCTGCTGGCAGCTTTTTTTTTTTTCGGGCTCACTTTCGCCTTGTTCAGTTTTACTGGAGTAGTGGTGAGTAAGGATATTGGCCCCACTTCTGTGGCATATAGCCATTAATGATGATATCTTTGTGTGAATTCGCAGAAGGCTGTATATGGCTGTTTTCTGCGATCGACTCACAAGAAATGACTTGCTGATAGACCTATCTTTTAAAGAAAGATTGTATAGTCGCCGCCCTTTTCAACAAATGATGTTCTTTACGTTAATTGCCCCTTATACTAAATTTATACGAACTGTAGGCAAGAATGATAGCTATTGAAACCTGTACGTTCGGTGTAAAGAAGGTCTCTTATTGAAGTGGCAAAATATTTCTCTTAGTGAAGGGCCTCAAGACAACGAAGTCTCGTGGAACAGATATTTTGTCTAAAAAGCCAATAAAGTTGCTCACAACCCGCTGCAAGGTGCCGATATTGATCGGGATCAAGGGGCTCTGCACTAAAGAAAGCGGCTTTTTTCACTATCTGATTGACTACTAGCCAGCCCGATTCGCAGAAGCCTAATTTATTATTTTAGCATTTTTTCTTACCTATTACTAAGAAATTGAGTGTGCGCAGAAGCGCAATGCAAATATGATGGTATGAACATTTCATACTTTTGAATGCTTACCTCGAAAGCATCCACTGGGGCAGTCTCTTGATATTTTGTTTTGAAGTGGGTGTATCCCACAGAAACTAAAAGCAAGCACAATGCGATGACACTTATTGCAGTCATTGCGTATTAAAAAATGTCGTCTACTCAAGACAATGCCCAATCGTGTGTGTTCTAGCTGCTTCTAAATTCAACTGAGTACATGAATCTCTCTACTCATAATCGCGACAAATGACAGCATTTCTGACCCGCGGAAACCTCTGCAGATGTTGAGAGGACGCTATCGGAAATGATACAAAATAAAGTTTCCACATACTGTGGCGAGCAGGAAGGCATAAATTACACGAAACACGTGAGACATTTTACTTTTACATATATATGCTCGCTGATAGGACAAGTCCATCGCACTTACCATACGTTTCTTCATGATTATATGGTATGAAATGCAACCCAATGCTATATTGTTATAAACTTTAGCTCAAAAGTCCTGCTCACTAAAATAGCAGGAAGATTTCGAGCAAAATAGAGTTTATAAATTGATGGTTTGACGTAGATCAATTTGGGGCTGGTAAGTTATTCACGTGGAAGGGTTCTGCTTTAGCTGTAAATGTAATGCCGGAAAAGAGAGCTGTCACACATCCGGAAAAGAGCCATAATGTAGCCGACATCATGGGCCTGCTAACTGCATAGGCTCTGGCATCATTCTAATTACCACTCCTGGATATCGGAGACCGGCATACTTAGGACAATCTAGGTGTCTGCATAAATCACAGCATGTAAAACGCTAAATAGCGTACATTGGTGCTTGCTTCTAATGAGGTACTCTTTAGATTTGTCGTTTTATTGCGAAATTTATATTGAAGAGAGGGAATAATGTCGGAGCAAGCACAAAAAAATTTTATTTCACCACAAACGTATCAGCTTCACGTGATGACTACTTGTATGTCCTTTAAAGACGCGAACAAAGACAAAGGGCACTTTCAGTGTTAACTTCAAAACAGCTCAACACCAGGAGGAAGAAGGAATCATAGGGGCAGGCAATTACTCGTAACTAAGAAGTTCATTAGAAAGAACAGGCCGTTTAGTGCCGAGATATGTCGCGTGCGTACTGAGGTGGCTAAACAATTTTAATTGTTTTAATTATCTAATATTTTACGTCCCAAAACAGCCACATGAATAACAAACTCCGTAGTGGAGAACTCAGAAAATGTTGACTATCTGGTGTTCGCTCAGTACCGAGGCTTCAAGTATTTTGCTTCCGCCTAAATGTGAACGCCACGGCGGTGATCGAACCCGTGACCTCCAGGTCAGCAGCCGGGCCCTCTAATCACTTTTCCACAGTGAAGTACGGTGGTTGATGATAATCAAGGGTAAATTAAACACGTGACAGCGTGTGCTGCGTTTACGCAAGCAAAAAAAACTGACAATTGAAAAGTTTTTAGTCTGTCTCTCTAATTACTATTTGTTTATTTCTCTCTCTTCCTTCATTTCTTTCTTTTCTTGCTCTTTCAGTTTTCATATGTTTCATTTTTTCGTTTTCTCTTTTTATTTATTTCCTTCTCCTATTTTGAGTCTGCCTATTTATTTCTCTTTTCACGTTTCTTTGTTCTCGCTTTTCTTATTCTTTATCTCCTGCAAGTTACCCTCTCCCCTCATTCTCCCCACCAGATCTCATTACTTACCTTTGCCAACCTGTTGCTTCACCATAATAATTAAGGCTGGCTGTACACGCACTCTGGTAGAGCCAAATTGAGGGCATAGACCGGTGGTTAGCGCTCTTGCTATTGGGTCAAGTGTACAGATGAAGTCACACTTAAGCAGTTGAGCAGTTGACCGAGATGTGCGTAAGCACCTCCCTAATATTCACCGCTGTGTTTTAGATAAGTTGGTTAGGAGCGCTATGAGCATGCAGGCGGCATGGCCATCACTTGGTCGGCATGTAGGTTTCCTCAAGGGCCATGGTGACCAATACATAGGGCGTTTCCGTTTGAGTTTTTCTGCGTGTTCAAGGCTCTTCTGAAGCGGTTTGCGTTTAGTAGAGAAGCTAACATGCAGCAGATTTGCCAACCAGCCTTGCATCAAACTTACGTCAAACCCAGCGGTGACTCCTAGGTTGCGCTGGTGTGTTGCGTGGTCGTGTACTGTAACGCTATATACAGCGGTCATTCCGACTGTACGCGAGTTCGAATCCTCCCCGGTGAAGTATCTTTTCTCCCATAATTTCTCTTTTTCTGTTATAATCTAGATCTCTACTTCTCTACACTTATACTCTCACCCATCAGCACTTCGTCAGGCCACGCAAGAGAAATGATGCACACTATCGCGGAGCGAGCACCAGAGGACAAATATGACTATGTTCACGTAGAGAGAAAGAGTGAGTGTTGGCTCATGAGAATAATTTCTGTTTCCGAATAACACATTTTAATGAGTATGAAGAATTTGGCAGTAAAAAGTCTGCAAAGCCTTACGGACTGTCTAAGGCGTAATACGAAGCAATTTTAGATGAACTGAAAATGTCGAGTTGTTCGCCTTTCAGGCTAACGTACTCAGATGAACGTACTCCTTTGTGTAAATTGAGTAGTAGTGTGCTTGGCGCCAAATTTACAGGCTTATTCAGTACATTGTGACAAAAGTAGGTTGGTTTTTAGACTGATGCAACGTCGGAGTTCACGTACTCATTCGATGTAGATGTATGCTACGCTGTGCTGGCGTGGATAGCACACAAAGTGTTTGATGGCTGGATACTTCAGGAAAGAACAACGCTAAACTAGAAGTGTAATGGTCATAGCAATACATATTTAGCTCCTCTGACACGTGCCTAAGCACTTCGGTGTTCCAGAAGTGCCGGTACAGTTGCTGGTGATGCTATTTAGGCACACCTGCAGCCGTGTTAAGTCGCATGAAAAAGTTATATTGGAGTCAGTATTTTCAAATTACAGCTAATTCTAAACGAATGAAGTTCCCCATCCCACACAAACGTTCCGGAACTGTTTGTTGAAGGTCTACGAACTCTTGCGCTTGTTGACATGGGTGCCGCCATATCTGTGATGAGTCAAAACTTTGCTGTTGGAGACAAAAAATAACAACGCCGCCTTCCGACGTATTGCTGAATACCATGAGCACGCAACCTATTCGACCAGTCGGAGCATGTACGGCGAGAGTAATCATCCAGCGCGCCCTGTAGTACATCCAGTTTCTCGTGTTGGCCACTTGTTCCCACGACGTGATACCTGGATAGGACTTTTTGTCACGCGGTCATGCCGTAATTGGCTGCGCTCGCGCACAGGTGAAATTTTCTGTGTTTTTTGATGCTCCATCTACCGACATTGAGCTCATTCACCTTGGCAAGCTTCTTGTTGCTTCTGATATAGATGTTCTCCCTCTTAGTGCCATCTTTGTCCCCGTCAATCGCGCTGAATTGTCCGGCTCTACCGTTGTGTTCTCCCCATCTGACGTTTTCTGTCGCCGCCACGGTACGTCTCTGCCATACGCCGTTCTTCCACCTCACCAAGACACTTCCGGAATTGTCGTTTGCAATCCTAGCCCATGCCCTCTCATTTTCAGAGCTCACGAAACACTGGGCTATGTTCTTCCTGTTGATGACAACGCTATTGTGCCTATTGAGTCCCACGACCCTGGCCAGCAACTTCAACTGAACGCTGTTACTCCTCCTTTTATGCGGGATGACCACTCCTCGGATATCTTTGATCGTTCCATGAACAGCAAGCTTCCTCTGGATCAACGGAACCAGCTAATAACCCTTCTGCATGAATTCCGTGATTCATTTGGCCTTCCTCAAAAGGCACTGAGTCAAACTAACACCGCTGCTCACACAATCTACACTGGAACGCACCCTCCTTTGCGGCAACGCCCCCACCACGTATCACCCAAAGAACGAAGTGTAATTGCAGAGCACGTAGACGATATGCTTCAGCGCGGTGTCATCAAGGCATCTTCTAGCCCTTGGTCTTCACCTATTGTGCTAGTGAAGAAAAAAGTCTGTTCGTTAGATTTTGTGTCGACTACCGGCGACTGAACGAAATTACACGGAAAGATGTGTACCCTCATCCCCGCATGGACGACGCTATCGATTGCCTACGAGGTGCGGAATTCCTTTCTTCGCTGGATTTACGTTCAGGTTACTGGCAGGTTCCGATGGCAGAGTGTGACCGTCCCAAAACAGCGTTCGTTACGCCCGATGGCCTATACGAATTAACGGTTATTCCATTCGCTCTGTGAAATGCACCTGCAACGTTTGAACCAACGATGGACAGCACTTTACGCGGCCTTAAATGGCAGATATGCTTTTGTTACCTTGATGATGTTATCGTATTTTCTCCTCATTTCCCTACCCACGTCGACCATCTGCGCAGATTTCTTCAGTGCCTTACTAAGGCAAACCTTCAGCTTAACCTAAAAAAGTGCCGCTTCGGGGCTCGCCAACTTACTATACTTGGTCACGTTGTGTCAAAGGATGGAATTTGCCCGGACCCAGACAAACTTCGAGCCGTAGCCAACTTTCCGAAGCCGACTTCACTCAAAGAACCTAGGAGCTTCATCGGCTTGTGCTCGTATTTTCGCCGTTTTGTCCACAACCTTGCATCAATAATAGCCCCACCTACGCAACTACTGAATGGTCCAGCTAATCTTTCTAACTGGACCACGGCATGTGACGAAGCCTTCCTTACACTGCGCCGCCTGCTTACGTCGCCACCAGTTCTACGGGTGGCGACGTAAGCAGGCCCCACTGCCCCCACTGAAGTGCACACAGACGCCAGTGGCGTTGCTCTGGGAGCAGTACTCGCGCGACGAAAGCCAGCTATTCCAGAGTACGTCATCGCATATGCAAGCCGCGCACTCACGAAAGCAGAAATGAACTACTCCGTAACTGAAAAACAATGCATCGCAATCGTTTGGGCGTTAAGCATGTTTCGTCCTTACTTGTACGGACAGTTGCGACGTTGTGACAGACCACCACGCACTTTGTTGGTTGGCGTCGCTAAAAGATCCGTCAGGTCGCCCTGGACGTTGGGCTCTTCGCCTACAAGAATTCGACATTCGTGTCGTCTACCGCTCAGGACAAAAACACTCTGATGCGGACGCCCTCTCACGATCACCAGTGACATCCAGCGCCGACCTGCATTCGGATGCCAACTTTCCCATCACTCCATTTCCGTCTCAAGTATGTCGTCTGAACAGCGGAAAGACCCATGGATAAAATCTCTCGTTAACAATCTTTCCGA